GGCTCCCGGGGGTCTCCCCTCAGGGAGCTGCTTCTCCCTCTGCCTATGTCTCTGCCTCTCTCTGTGTCTCTCATGAATAAATAAATAAAATCTTAAAAAAAAAATCAGTGAAAGAAGGCACAAAAGAGAACGTACTGTATAATTGTATTCATATAAATTTTTCTTTGTTTATTGGGGGGGTGGGGAACAGAATCTTAACCAGGTTCCACACCCAGCGTGGAGCACAACATGGGGCTCAATTCCACGACCCCAGAGATCATGACCTGAGTGGAAGTCAAGTTTAGATGCCTAACTGGCTGAGCCTACCCAGGTGCCCCCATATGACTTTACGGGACTATGATGAATAAAGTGGCTATCCCATGTACAAGTCTTTCTGTGGATGTATATTTTTGTCCTGCGTAAATCTAGAAGCAGATAACTGGGTTGTATGCTAGGCATACCTTTAACTTTATAAGAAACTGCCAAAAAGTTTTCCAATGTGTTCTACCATTTTGCATCCCCATCAGCAATGCATGAAGAGCCTCATGCTCCACATCCTCACCAGCACTTGTTACAAGGAATCTTTAATTTTAACCATCCTGGTGGGTATGAAGAAGTTTCTCCTTGTGGCTGTTGTTTGCATCATCCTGACCACTAATGTTGAGCACTTTTGCCTAGTTTTACAATAGGTGTTCTTTCTGTATTCATGATTGTAAACTTTTTTTTTTTTAAGATTTTATTTATTTATTCATGAGAGACACGGGGAAGGGGGGGCAAAGACCTGTGTCTTTGCAGAGGGAGAAGCAGGCTCCACCGAGGGTGCCCAACTAGGGACTCGATCCCTGGTCTCCAGGAGTCACGCCGTGGGCTGAAGGCGGCGCTAAACCGCTGAGCCACCAGGGCTGACCGGATTTTATTTATTTATCTGACAGAGACAGCAAGAGAGCACAAGCAGGGGGAGTGGCAGAAGGAGGAGAAGCAGGCTCCCTGCTGAGCCAGGAGTCCCTTGCAGGGCTCTGACCTGGGCTGAAGGCAGATGCTTAACTGCCTGAGCCACTCAGGCACCCCAAGGTTTTTTTTAGTCATCCCTGCACCCAACATGGGGTTAGAACTCACAATACCAAGATCAAGAGTTTCATGTTCTTCCAACTGAGCCAGCTAGGTGCCCAGAGATTTTAAGTTTTGATGAAGTCCAACTGATCAAATATCAGTGCGTGTCTTGACCTCTACATAGAGGCTGTGTGGATCCTACAGCTCCTTTCCAAATGTTTCAGCAAGATTTTTTTTTTTTTTTAAGATTTTACTTCCTTATTCATGAGAGACAGAGAGGCAGAGATATAGGCAGAGGGAGAAGCAGGATCCCTGAGGGGTATCCCATGCAAGACTCAATCCCAGGACCCCAGGATCACCATCTGAGCCAAAGGCACATGCTCAACCACTGAGCCACCCAGGTCCTCCCAGCAAGAATTTTTAACCCTTTTCCCCCTCACTTCCAGGTATTTGGCCCAATTACTTTTTGCTCTGTGTTGCTACTAGGAACAAAATTGTAACAAACTATAACACTAGGACATAACCTAATGTCATTGAAAAGGAGGTGGCAGGGTGCCTGGGTGGCTCAGTTGGTTAAACAGCTGCCTTTGGCTCCAGTCATTATCCCAGGGTCCTGGGATCCAGCCCATATCGGGCTCCCTGCTCAGTAGGGAGGAGCCTGCTTCTTGCTCTCCCTGTCACTCCCCCTGCTTGTGCTCTCTGTCAAAAATAAATAAACAAACATATATATATATATATATTTAAAAAAAAGAAGAAAAGGAGGTGGCACTGGGCAGAAGGATATACAGGTACAGAGTCCAGGAAAGAGGTCTGAGCTGAAGTCAGAGATGAGGGAGTTATCAATGTCTAATTTATGTATTTCGAAGATGGCAGCCACTCCACACTGGACTGTGGTGACTTTGGGGAAAGTTTTCAATTAGCAATAATCATGCTTTGGGTAAACCTCATTGGCTGCAATACTGCCACTGCGCAAAGCTTGAACTGTGGCAAGTCTGAATAAGATGTATTCCAAGTGGTGAAGATTTCATGCTTAAAAAAATATGCAATTATTTCATTAATATTTTTATATTGATTACATGTTGAAAAGATTGTATTTGGGATACAAAGCAGGGCAGATAAAAACTTAAAATTAATTTACAGGTTTCTTTTTTTAAATTTATTTATTTTAGAGAGAGAGCGCAGAGCAGGAGAGGCAGACGGAGAGAATCTCAAGCAGGCTCCCCACTGAACACAGAGCCCCACTCAGGACCCTGAGCTGAAACCAAGAATCAGACACTTAACTGACTGCAATTCCCAGGCACCCCTACCAGTTACTTTTTACTTTCTTTTAATGGTGCCAGCAAAGTAACAATGCACTCTAAATGACATATGTGGCTCATATTTTATTTCTATTGGTCAGCACTGCTTTAGGTCATAGATGGGAGTGGACAAAATCACTATGGGGTTGGTGTGATTACAAGAAGGCACGCAGATCTAGGAGGTTCTTGACTTGGGTCAGGCTGAAAATTCAGGCTTCCTGAAGGGGACAGGAGAAATTTACACCTTTCCCTCAACCACAACTCAGTCCTTCCTTCAGTTAAGAATGTGGGCAACAGGGATCCCTGGGTGGCGCAGCGGTTTGGTGCCTGCCTTTGGCCCAGGGCGCGATCCTGGAGACCCGGGATCAAATCCCACATCGGGCTCCCGGTGCATGGAGCCTGCTTGTGTCTCTGCCTCTCTCTCTGTGTGTGACTATCATAAATAATTAAAAAAAAAAAAAGAATGTGGGCAACACATCAAAGTAGAATTGGTTCCTGTGGCCTGGTCTGCAACATAACTTACAGTGCTTGGATATCACATGAATTGTTGCAGATACTCATATGGTGAGCACAATTCTAAGATGGCCTTCAGGACTTCTGCCCCTGGCATGATATACCAAGGTGTAGGCTGACTCACATGACAAAAGAGATGGATGTCACTCCTTTGGCAAGGCTACCTTATATGGTGAGGGTAAGAGATCTTGCAGATGTAATTAAGGCCCCAAATCAGATCACCTTAATTAAAACGAAGATTATCCTGGGGAGGCCCGACTTAACTAGATAGAAGCCCTTTATTTATTTATTTATTTTTAAAGATTTTATTTATTTATTTATTTTTAAATTTTTATTTATTTATGATAGTCACACACAGAGAGAAAGAGAGGCAGAGACATAGGCAGAGGGAGAAGCAGGCTCCATGCACCGGGAGCCCGACGTGGGACTTGATCCCGGGTCTCCAGGATCGCGCCCTGGGCCAAAGGCAGGCACTAAACCACTGCGCCACCCAGGGATCCCCAAGATTTTATTTATTTATTCATGAGAGAGACAGAGAGAGACAAAAGAGAGTGAGAGAGGCAGAGACACAGGCAGAGGGAGAAGCAGGCTCCATGTAGGGAGCCTGATGTGGGACTCGATCCCGGGACTCCAGGATCACGCCCTGGGCCGAAGGCAGGTGCTAAACTGCTGAGACACCCAGGGATCCCTGAAGCCCTTTATTTATTTACTGATTTATTATTTTATTATTTTTTAAGTAAACTCCACTCCCAACATGGAGCTTGAACTTACAACCAGTTCCGAGATCGAGTCACATGTTCTACTAACTGAGCCAGCCAGGAGCCCCACATGGAAGCCCTTTGAGAGGGGCCTTTGTGGGACACCTGAGTGGCTTAGTCGGTTAAACATCAGCCTTCTGCTCAGTCATGATCCCGAGGTCCTGGAATCGAGCCCCGCATCAGGCTCTGTGCTCAAAGGGTTGCCTGTTTCACCCTCTCCCTTTGCAGCTCCCCCTGCTTGTGCTCTTTCAACTAAATAAATAAAATCTTCAAAGAAAAACAATGGAATCATCCCTAAAAGTACAAATATGCCAAGAAATGTGGCACTAAGTAGTTTGAGGAAAGGATGCTTATTTGCAGTATGAGAGCTAAAGTAAGAAGGCAGAGTGTCAAAAAAAAAAAAAGGCAGAGTGTCATCTTCCTCAATCTTAGCTGAAAAGGTACACGTTGGGTGAGTGAAATCTTTTGCTGCTCTGAGCATCTGCATGCCTACCAACAACCACAAAATAATGGTCAGTGTTAACATGGGGACTGGGAAAAAATTTCAGCGAATAGGCAAATTCACAAATATGGAATCCGTGAATAATGACGATCAACCGTTAAGTGGCTTCCTTTGTAATCCTGTGCCTCTCATTTTATATGTTTACAAACATAATTTTGTGAAGGGGGCTATAGCCCTAAAAAGGTGACTACCCCTCGGTCTAAATATAGAGGAGTAGCCAGCCAAAAAGGTTTCAGAAGGAGCAGCAGGAGGAGAAAAACGAGAAGAGCATGGTGTTCTGAATGCCCTGTGTAGGAAGGTCATTGCTTTCTTCTGGAGCTGGCTGGAAAGACCTCAGGACCATCAACACAGGAGAGGCTGGAATAAATAAATCATGCAACAGGTGAGAAAAATGTGATTAGCTGAAATTGTATCTACAGATATCCTCAAGTATGCTGTATGTTCAGGAGACAGGCACTTGATAAATCATAATAGAGTTTATCTCAACTCTAGCAGGAACCAGCTGAGCTCCATTTGACTTAACAGAAAGAGTGCTCCAAATAAATATTTCTAGAGTGAATGAACTGGCTCTTTCCTCACTTTGTAAATCAGAAAGAAAGAGAGAGAGAGAGAGAGATCTGAGCCAAATCTCCTACTTAGAACTTTAGTTCTCGAGAGAAAGGAGAAACAAATACTTGAAAAAGTTTTTAATATGAAAAAATTTTAAACAATTTCTTTTTGGCAAACACAGGGAGGGCAGCCACCACCCCACAACCCTGAGTAGAGAAAGGAAGGCCTGGAAAAGCACACAAAGAATGTAGAGACATGAGGTCTAATCTTGTAGCGGCTTCAGAGGAAGATCTCAGTCCAGGGGTAAGTTCAAGTCCACAGGTGAAATGGCCAGGATGCCCTCCTGGAAGGGAAAAGTGGAAGAGCTTGTGAGCGCTCACAGTAAGAGCCTATCCTCCATTCGCAGTGGCATCTCCACCAGCCCAGTGAGAGCAGAGACAGGGGAGGCAGACAGGGATGGGGTGGGAGGATGAAGATCCAAAGAAAGAATCAGAGTCCCACGAGTGGATGGGGCCAGAGTCCTGGTAAAAGGGAGGAAAGACAAAGCTCCAGGGTGGAGGGCAGAGCACCAGTGGCAGGTAGACAGAGAGACAGGGAAGAGAGATCCAGAGAAAGGGAACAGGGTCCTGGGGTTTTAAGGATGCAAAGCTCTGCTGGTGCTGTGTCAAAGTCTTGATCCCAATCCTCTGCATGGGGGACCCTTCATCCATCTCCATAAAATCGGGATAATATCCAATCCCATAAGGTGGTTGTGGGATTTAAATGGAATTATTCCACTTAAGTCCTTGGAAATGCACGTGGTCGAAAAGAAAAACAATTTCACCAATAAACAAGCTTCTGCACAGAGCTCCAGACACGTCGTCTATCCACTGTCCCCTCCTCATCTCCCTTTGGGGTCTGAAGGGCATCTCTCCCCTAACTGGACCATTTCCAATCATCTCTGACTCTTCTTCAAACGTGCTCCCCCTGCTCCTCACTCCTATCTCAGGGAGCACCAGATGCGGCCCTGCAGGTGCTCAGGCCAGCATCCTTGACTCCTGTCTTCCCCTCATCGGCACTCATAAATAGCACTCGTAATCCACTCCATAAGCGAAATCTGTCAACTCTACCTCTAAATTAACTGGAGGACTCCTCCACCGCCTCCACCGTGGTGTGATCCACCCTTATCTCCCTCCCTGAACCAGAGCGGACACCTCCTCCCAACTCCCCACTTCCGCCTCGCCCGCTAGTGTTCCCCCATGCGGCCGCTAGAGCGCGCAAGTCAACACCTAAGTCAGCCCACTTTGCCGGGGACGCAGAGAGTAGAGCTAGTCTAGGGACTCCAGGCCCGTTCAAAGTCCAAGTTCTCACTTTCACAATGTCCCACGCGATCTGGCCGGCCGCCCTTCCTGACCTCATCTCTCGCCCCCTCCCCTTCGCTTACCCTGCTTCAGCCCTACTGGCCTTCACTCTGCTCCTCAAACACACCTGGCCAGCTCCTGCCAGCCTGTGAAGCAACACTCACAACCTGAGAGCACCAAATCCCCACAGCAACCAGGCAGGGAAGTGAACAGTCCCCGTTGGGCTGGGGGAGACCGGTGCTCAGCTAGCTGGGGATGTTGCCAAGGTCACACTGTCAGTACTCTGGAGCCCAATCAAGCTCTGAGCCTGGCACTGGATTTAAAGCAGTGAGCAAGGAGTGCCTGGGTGGCTCAGAGTGGTTAAGCGTATGCCTTAGGCTCAGGTACTGGAGTCCTGGGATGGAGCCCTGCAACAGGTTCCCTGCTCCGTGGGGAGTCTGCTTCTCCCTCTGTCCCCTCATCCCCACTTGTATACACACACTCTCTCTAATAAAATCTTTAAAAAGGGGGTGGGGCACCTGAGTGGCTCAGCTGGTTAAGTGTCTGCCTTCAGCTCAGGTCATGATCCCAGGGTCCTGGAATTGAGCCCTGTGTTGGGCTCCCTGCTCAGTAGGGAGCCTGCTTCTCCCTCTCCCTCTGCTGCTCCCCCTGCGTTTGTGCTCTCATGTGCTCTCTCTCCCTCTCTCTAACTCTCTAACTTGTGCTCTCTCCCTCAGATAAATAAATGACAGATAAATAAAGCAATGAGCGAGCTTGGTAAGACTCCCTGGTCTTGTGAAACTGATAGGTCAGGGGCAAGAGAACATGCAAAAAAACCCAAAAAGAAGTAAGTAAAGCAGGTCAATCCTACCATCTGATAGAAGCTGTGTATTAGAAGGTGCAGAGTATTATGGAAGGAAGTAAAGCGATGAAGAGGGAAAAGGAGTGGGTGGGAGGGTACGAGGTGGCTGCGGTTTTATATGGGGACAGGGGAGGTCTCACTGGGAGTGACACCGGAATGGAGCAGAGGAACCGAGGCAGGGGGATACCTGGGCAAGCGCATTCTGGCAGGCAGTGTCAGAGAAGCAGACAGGCACAAGATAACTATGCAAATGACCACAGGATGCCAAGGACTTACAGAGATGATTCCATTTTAATCTTTACAATAACCCTTTGAGATGGGTACTTCTCCTCTTCCCTCTTGACTGATAAGGAAACAGAGGCCCAGGAAGAGGTCTCACTTGATTCCCACTCATAACTGTCAGTATCCACCAGAATGGTTTAAGCCAGGCATAGGGTCTGCACCGATTACCTACTGGTGTACAGTAGGTGCTCACTAAACACAGAAAGGATGAATGGTAGGGCTAGGAGAACACGCATCATGTCTGAAAAGAAGCCAAAGACGCCACCCCCCTACCACACAGGCACAAGTTACAACTGGATAAAGGGAGGCCCAGAGAAGCTTTGGCAGCTCACCCAGCCCCCGTGTGCCTGGATCCAGGGCCCGAAGCTGTGCACGTGCTCCACGCTGAGTCCGGCCAGGGTGCCCCCCAGCCCAGCCACGCGGCGGCTCAGCTCCATGGCCAGGGCCAGGCGGGCCAGGGGCTCCGGGGAAGGCGGTGGAGGCCCTGGGCAGGGTAAGGAGGGGCGTGGACGGCTGGGCAGAGGGCTCTCCTCCCGGCTAGAGAACAGCTCCACTAGGCGGGCGAAGGAGCTGGCGGAGAGGCGGGCCAGCTTCCCACGCAGGGCGGGGTCCGAGGCCAGCTGGGGGTGAGGAAGACAAGAGGGTGGGTCGGCCACGCCCCCGCGGCCAGCCAATCGGGGGCTAGGAGGCGGGGCTTTCTGGTAGAACCGTTTCGACACTGATGCTCAGAGCCACGCCCCATCCATCACATCAGCCAATCATAAACCAGACTCTGGTCTCCGCCAAACTATTCCTAGGGCAGGGCGAGAAGTTAAGGGAAGGCCTCGACAGCCAACGAGGGCTATGCTCTACTTAGCCGAGTTCTAAACTACTGATCTTATAGCCACGGCCCCTACGGGTTCCCCGAGAGCCCCAGAGGTCAGGCTCCTGCCTACAACAACCTCGCCTTCCACTCTACTATTAATATTATAGGATCAGACACTTTGTCCAAGCTCCTGAGCCCATCGAATTCCAGGACCAAGTCATCATCATAAGCCAGATTAATTTCCCCCCACATTATAGGGCATGCCCCCATACAGTTAAGCAGGGCTTCAGATTCTAGACAGCCCTCTGGAAACCAACCCCCCTCTCACCACCATGCATGCAGTCCCTAATTCCTCAACTGGTCCTAAGGAGTTTCCCAGGTCACGTTTTTTTTTTGGGTGGCCACACCCCCAATCTTTAAACCACGCCCCTCTTACGGGGAATGTAAGCCCCTGTTTAAGGGACTACCCTAACCAGAATTCTGTCCCTCAACCTATAGCGGAGAAGCTTAGCACTCTGACTCCATACTGCTTCTATTTCCCTTACTGCTGGGACCAATAGCTTAGAAACTTCTGCTTAGCCCCGCACATAGGCATATTACTGCGAAGACTCGCAAAAACTGCTATTCTACCCAAAATCCACCTCGCCGGAGGATATAAAGGAGTACTTACAGAAATAACTAACTATGCTCTGTTTAAGATTTTTTTTTAAAAAGATTTTATTTATTTCTTCATGAGAGACAGAGACACAGGCAGAGGGAGAAGCAGGTTTCATGCAGGAGGCCTGACGTGGGATTCCATCCCGGGTCTCTAGGATAATGCCCTAGGCCGAAGGGGGCGCTAAACCGCTGAGCCACCTGGCCTGCCCCTGTTTAAGATTTACAGGAACGACATGACCTGTACACAAAGATCAACTGACCAAGGAGGGGGTGCCTGGCTGTTTCGGTGGGTTAAGCGTCTGCCTTCCACTCCTGGACCTGGGATCCAGGCTTGCTGGGAGCTTCCTGCCCATCAGGGACTCCGCTTCTCCCTCTCTCTCTGCCCTTCCCTCCCTGCTCAGGCTGTCTCTGACTCTCTCAAATAAATAAATAAAATCTTTTTAAAAAAATAAATAAATAAATGAAACCTCTTTAAAAAACTGACCAAAGACAAAAGAAGTTACACAATCTTCCCCTGTTGCCTACAGACTGTCAGGAACCTTTGTGACTCCAACTACCTCCCCTTTCCCCCGCATTCCTAACATAAAAGAAACGCCAATCTCATGCTGGGGCAGATGGTTCTTTGGGACAGTAGTCGTCTGCCATCTCCTCAGTGTGCTGGCTTTCCAGATAAAATCACTTTCCTTACCCCAACATCTTGCCTCTTGACTTACTGACCCGTGGTGCTGCAAGCAGAGTGAGCTTGGAGCCCCTCACAAACCCTTCATAGAAGCCGAGTCCCACCGTCTCCTCACCTGACCATCTAATGAGAATGCAGACCCAGGTTCTGATCCCAGAGCTCAACCATCCCGCAATCCCTATCCCAGCTAAGGGATGGAACAGACTGCCCGGTACCTTCTGGTTGATGACTTCAGCCTCTTCCTCCAGCAAGGCCACCAGCTTCCGCAGTAGGGCTTCCTTTTCTGTGAGGGGGGGACCCTGTAACTCTGGGGGTTAGGGATGCAGGAGAGAATTCAGCTGGAGGCAGAACCCTGCCAACCCTTCCACCCTCACCCTTCTCCGGGGCCCCTCTGTATCTCACCTGGGCTAGGTGGGGATCTCAGCTGCTCTTGGACCAGTTGTTCCAGCCGCTGGGCCACCAGAGCATAGAAATCGGAAGTGGCTGGGCCTGGAGTGAAAAGAGCCAGTGATGGGTCTCTGGGACATCAGAAACCTATGGATTCTCTTCTTGTCCCAACCATCTTGCCAGGGAGCACTGATTTCCATTTCCTAATGGGGTAAACTGAGGCCCAGTGAGTGCACTTGCCAAAGGGCTTTGTACTTCCCATTTTATTGTGTTGCCCAAACTAGACTTAGAATGTTAGAGGTGAACTAGACCTTGAAAGAATATTCTAGGGCAGCCCCAGTGGCTCAGCAGTTTAGTGCTGCCTTCAGCCCAGGGCGTGATCCTGGAGACCCGGGATCAAGTCCCACGTCAGGCTCCCTTCATGGAGCCTGCTTCTCCGTCTGCCTGTGTCTCTCCCTCTCTCTGTGTGTATGTCTCTCATGAATAAATAAATAAAATCTTAAAAAAAAAAAAAAAAAGAATATCCTATCCAAGAAAGGCAAACACAGGGCACCCCAGCTACTACCACACTATCCCTTGCTATTCTCAGGCCTCATCAATTGATCACAGAACTTTCCTCCCCGCTGTGAAATCCTTTTCTTTTCAAGCTAGCACTCCCAGTAGCCATTCCTAGTCTATGGAGGCTTACATAGGACTTTTTGGTTACTCTCAGTTCCTTTTGGTTACTCTTAATGGAATCCAACAACACCCCCTCCCACTCTCACATGCACACATAGGCACACAATGCTACTTTACTTCTGAGGAAGCATAGGAGCAAAAAAGAAATTGAATTTCCCTGAGTTGTGTAACCGAACAGCCAGGGATCCGTGACCGAAAACCAGGTCTCCTGCCTCCCTAGGATGATGGGGGGATACTAGTGGCAATAAAGTCCTAGAAGTAGGGAAGCATGCACAGGAGGAGAGATAAGCAGAAAAGGACAAAGCCCCCTGAAGCCAGCTCACAGAACTGAGAGACAACAATAACTGGGGGTGGAGGTGGGGGATCAGAGAGTGGTGAGGGGAGTCCTCACCCTAGCTCCTGTCTTAGCTGAGTGATCTTGGACTAGCTCCTTCTCCTTTCTATGCTTTAAGAATCAAAGCTTGTGGGGACGTCTGGGTGGCTCAGTGGTCGAGCATCTGCCTTTGGCTCAGGCCTTGATCCCGGAGTTCCAGGATCGAGTCCTGCATTGGGCTCCCCACAGGGAGCCTGCTTCTCCCTCTGCCTGTATCTCTGCCTCTCTCTGTGTGCCTCTCATGAATAAATAAATAAAATCTTAAAAAAAAAAAAAAAAGATTCAAAGTTTTGGCCCTGCCGGTGTCCAGGTGATCTAGGAAAATCTCTTACCAGGCTCTGAAACATAGCATGGGCGGAGGGGCAAGGAGCAAGGCCGAGGGGACACAGGGGGGTCTGCTCCTCGCCCCAGGGGACAGGGAAGACATCTTCGAAGACGGCTCAGGAAATCTGTTGGCTCCTCCTGGGCAGGACTCCTGGGGAAGGGGACCTCAGAGAATGACTGCAGAGGCCCCTTGCAAGCAGTCCCTTTTTCCTCCCACTGAGGGCCTGTCACTGCAACCCCAGGGACAAGGATAAAGGGCCAGATATAAAAGAGGGGAACGCAGACAGAGACCAGGTACAAAAGTTAGAGAGGGCCCCACCCCAAATGCAGGCCCCAGCGGAAAGAAGGCAGCTCCTCTTACCTGGGTGGGGTAGGGCTGGGGGACCCAGCAGCCTCACCTCGCCTAAAGAAGGCAGCTAGGACTCTCAGCGTGTCCTCCCGGAGCCCCAGGTCTTCTGAGCCTGCCATGGGGGCACCTGTGAAAAAGGGAGCTGGGGGATGGGCTCCAGGGTTGAACTGAAGTGGAGGATTGGTGCCCAAATGCCTAGTCCCTGAATAAGAAGGGCTCCAGGACCCACGAATTCCCGAAGGAAGAAGGGGCTGAGAGTCTCAACTCCTAAATCCTTTAGGGGAGTTAGGGTCTGGGGACCCAGACTCTTGAGTTCTCAGAGGGAGAAGAGCGATGAGGCCGAAGACTCCTTGATCCTTGGAGAGGAAGAGGCTTAGGGACCCGGGTTCCTGGGGTCAAAAGACTGGGGGCTGGACTCTGAAGATTTTTTGGAGAAGGGGACTGGAGGATCTGAATTGTTGAGTCTGAGAAAGAACGGAACTTGGGGCAACGACTTCTGGTTTCTGGAGGCAGAACGCCAAGCCGCTCTTGCTCTTAGAGAATCAGGAACTACGAATCCCAGCAGGTTTCATGGCAAACCTTCCCCTCGGTCCGCACTTGTGCGCCGCGCAGCCTCCTTGGGAAGTGTAGTTCCATTATCTGACCCACGCTGGAATCTTGGGGACCCGGGGTGCATAGATGTCTAGGAAGCGGGACTGAGGTGCCCGCTCCTAGACCCGTCCTTTTCCCTTCTCGCCCCAGCCTGCACAAAAGCCCAGCTTACCTGGGGCCGGGGAGCCGCCGGCCCCCTCTCCTTCACCGAACTTGAGTAAACTTTTATTAGTGCAACTTTCCCGCGCCTGCGCACTGGGCCGGGTTGGTGTCAGCCCCGTAGTGGGAGGGGCGGAGCGCTGCATACCCATCTAATTTGCATGTGGCGTTCCCAGCATGCCTTTGGCCGGAAGACCTATAAAGGGCATAGCGAGGGGCTGGGGAGAGAACCCGGGGCGTCCGGGTTCTTGGTGCCGCCTCTTTGGCTCTGGAGTCTTGTCAACCAATCGCAGATAAAGTTGTTTTTGTTTTATGAAATCGATAGAAAAGAAAACCCTCTTTCTCTGAAGCTCAGCTGACGGGAAGTAGGGTGTGCAGCTGCAAGTTCGAGAGTTACCGGACCCCAAAGGCAGGGGCGGGTTCTAGCACCCTGAGCGCCCCGACCCTCTACGTAGGTAACTGGGAAGATCTGGGGAATTGGTGGCGCCCGGGGCGGGAAACGCGAGACGTGCTGGGTCTGCCCTGAGAGTCTAGAGGAGCAAGGTGTACTCTAGGGAAGGTGAAGCAGAGTTCGAGTAAAAGTGAAGCTATGGCCGCTGCCGGAGGTCGGCTGTGAAATAAAAAGTAGTAGCGGGGGCGGGGGGGGGGTGAGGCGTCTGCATTGGGGCATCTAAGGGAGAGAAGAGCAGACTCTGAAGATGGGAGGCAGTCCACTCTATAGAGTATGTGTGTGGGGGGGTGCCCTAGAGGAAGGAAGCTGTTTGGGAGGAAGGATGGTGGATGGAGGGTCCACCGTGGAAATGGGTGAGGGGCTCTTCTGTAGGAGTCCGCAACACAGATAAGTGCGGGAGGTAGAGATCTACAAGGAAATAACGTCTGCCCTGAAACAACCAGGGGAGTCTCTACCTTGGAAGCGGAGGTGACTGCCTTAGGTGATGTGGGGGAGGGGAGAGGAGGAGAGGGTTTACAACGAAGAGGGAAGAATCTACACTGGCGGAGTTGGGGAGGTAGAGGAGGAGGCTCAGGAGGAGGTGGGGAAAGACGGGGCGTCTCAAATGGATTGGAGGGGAAGTCCTCGTTGAATTGGGGGACTGTCTGGAGGTGAAAAGAGGAGTTGTCTTGTTTTATACCCCAGGAAAATATAAGTGAGGGACGCTGCACCGCCGCCCCATGAGAGGAAGGTCTGGGAGCGGAACCCTCGCGGGTGGGGGCGGGGGCGGTGGGCGGGTAGCTAAGAGGCCATCCGCGCCCACGAACTGCCCTCTAAGCGCAGGCCGGACCATGGGAACCCCAAAACCGCGGATCCTGCCCTGGCTGGTGTCACAGCTGGACCTAGGGCAGCTGGAGGGGGTGGCCTGGCTGGACGAGCGCCGCACGCGCTTTCGCATCCCTTGGAAGCATGGCTTGCGGCAGGATGCCCAGCAGGAGGACTTCGGCATCTTCCAGGTGCGAGAGCTTCGTGCCGCCGGGAACCCTGAGCTAACCTACCTGAGGGGTGGATTCCCAGGGGGCGGAGCCGAGAGGGAGGGGTTAGCCTGCGTAGGGTTGGCCCGCGCTGACGCTGGCAGGTGGAGGTGAATGGAGTTAGGACGGGACTGGGCAGGGTTAGGAGGATCAGCGGACGGATGTCGCAAGGCGGGCAGGGCTGGAACGGCCAGGTTCCGGAAAAAGAACCGGAAAAGCGGGGTTAGAACTCGAGAGAAATGCAAACTGGGGATTGAGGGCTCGCAGAGGGCGGGGCTTTGGGTCGTACTATTCTGAGGGCGGGTTTCGGAACCTTCGAGGCGAGACCTGGCCCCAAAGTTGAGGTGATTTCCCACCAAATTCGGATACACCAGTGGTGGTAACCCGAGTTCGAGTACGAGGGGGCGGGGCCATTACAACCTGTCCTGGGGCAGGTTGCTGGCAGAGTTAGACGCCCAGTAGGACCTGGAAGGTTGGCTTAGAAAGCAAAGTTTTTGAATAGGTGAAGGGGGGGGGGGCGCTTACGATGCAGAGTCCAAGAATTTGGGGATGGATCCTTGTCAAGTTAGAACGTGCCAGGGGAGAGCGCCCTTGGGCCGGGGTCTTAGTCATCCTTCTCACCATCCTGGTACCTACTGGATCCCCAGGCGTGGGCCGAGGTCAGCGGTGCCTACACTCCTGGAAAGGATAAACCTGATCTGCCCACCTGGAAGAGGAATTTCCGATCTGCCCTGAACCGGAAGGAGGAGTTGCGTGTAGCTGAGGACCGGAGCAAAGACCCCCACGACCCACACAAGGTCTATGAGTTTGTGATCTCAGGTGTGCCAGAAGTGGGGCTCCACGTGGAGGGATGGGATTTTGAGCATCCCCAACACTCTGCTCCACTCACCACCTTCCCTGGCAGGAGCTGGGAACTTGCCTGAGTTGGACACCTTTCCAGACACCAATGGGAGATACAGTACCTCGGATACCCAGGCAAGAATGCACCCCATCCTTCCTGCCCTCAGGATGACCCATCTCCTGTGTCCCCACAGCCTTGTTCAGGTTTCTTCTCCTCCCCCTGGACCATCACATCAAATCCTCCTCCTGAGCCTCCATCCTATCCCCTGTGGGCTGTCCACCCACCCATCTAGAGCTGACCCTGTCCCTCTCCTGCTCATAGCGAGCCCTTCCATGGACGCTTCCAGCGTCTCAGGAAAAAATGCAGAGCTTTCACCAAGGCATTTAGGGCCCTAATACACCTTTCTAGGATTTCACAGTTTCTCTTGCTATGTAGAGTACCATCAGCCTCCTGGGAACCCAGAACCACCCTATCCTTGGTCTTGCTGACGTCCATGCCAGGACAGGTCCCCTGTGAAATAGTGTCTAGCCTTCTCTGCCCAGGTCTTGCTTGCCCAGGGCCAGGTCCTTGGGCTGGAACTAGCTGTTCCCCTTGGGCCAACGGTAGCATCCATCATATACCAGAGCATATATTTTGTCATCTGTGCCCATGCTTGTCTACCTACCTCCTATCCCCCACCTCCATGCCAGCCCCAACTGGAAGCCCCCCCCCCCCTTTTTTAAAGATTTTATTTATTCATGAGAGACACAGAGAGACAGACAGAGACCAAGACAAAGGCAGAGGGAGAAGCAGGTTTCATGCAGGGAGCCAATGTGGGACTCGATCCCGGGACTCCAGGGTCACGCCCTGGGCTGAAGGCAGATGCCAAACCACTGAGCCACCCAGGGATCCCCCTGGAAGCCCCTTGAGGGCAGAGCTCAGATCTGACTCGTCTCTGGGTCCCAAGGCCTGGTCCACATGAAGTCTCCAGAAAAGGCTACGGAAATGCCCAGATCCTTTTCTTTTTGCTTCTCTCCAGGAAGACACATTAGAGGAGTTACTGGGTGACATGGTCTTGACCCCATTCCCAGATGAGGGGCCCTCGAGCCTGGTGGTGGTCCCAGAGCAAACCCCTCCACTCTTGCTGAGCCCCACCATAGACCTTCCCACTCCCTGCCCAAACTCAGAGCCCCCTGAAAACCCGCTGAAGCGGCTCTTGGTGCCTGATGAAGGTGAGTGGCAGCTCTGGGGTGGGAAGTGCTGAGGTGACAGGGCCCCTTATGCCCTCTCAATCTCACTCCCTCTTCATGTCACTTCTGCCACTGCCCAGAGTGGGAGTTCGAGGTGACTGCCTTCTATCGGGGCCGCCAAGTCTTCCAGCAGACAGTCTCCTGCCCAAGGGGCCTGCGGCTGGTGGCAGCAGAAGGAGGGGACACGATGCTGCCTGGACAGCCAATAATACTGCCAGACCCCGGAGTGTTGGTAACAGACAAGACCGTGATGGGCTATGTGAGGCGTGTACTGAGCTGCTTGGGTGGGGGACTAGCTCTGTGGAGGGCAGGACAGCAGCTCTGGGCACGGAGGCTGGGGCACTGCCACACATACTGGGCCCTGGGCGAGGAGCTTCTCCCTGACAGCAGTCCCAGGCCCGGCGGCGAGGTCCCCAAGGATGAAGATGGAGACCTATTCGACCTGAGGCCCTTCGTGTCAGGTGAGGAGGCAAAGCCTTAGCTCTGCTGTAGAAAGAGCTCTGCTGTAGAAAGACCATCTGCTGGTCATGGTGGTTAAGAACTCTGGGGTCTGGGAGTGCCTGGGTGGCTCAGTCGATGAACCATCTGACTCTTGATATCAGCTCGGGTCATGACCTCAGGGTCACAAGATCAAGCCGAGTCTGGCTCTGCACGGGGTGTGGAGCCTGCTTAAGGTTCTCTCTCTGCCTCTGCCCCTGGTCCCCACTCTCCTTACATCCTCCTCTCTCTAAAAACAAAAAAATTTTCAAACCTCCAAACCCCAGAGTTTTTTTTTTTTTTAAGATTTTATTTATTTATTCATGAGAGACACACAGAGAGAGGCAGAGACACAGGCAGAGGGAGAAGCAGGCTCCATGCAGGGAGCTTGATGCAGAACCCAATCCCAGGACTCCAGGATCACACCCTGGGCTGAAGGCAGGCACTAAACCACTGAGCCACCCAGAGATCCCCCAAGCCCCTGAGTTCTAATTCAGACCCTGCTGCTCTGCTTGTGCTATAACCTGGGGCAAGAGATGGACTGCTCTGAGTCTGTCAGAGGACTGTCTCCTCTGCTAGAGCTGGTAGGAGGCACAGGGCCCAGTGCACAGAAGGTGCTCAAGGAATTAACTGCCATCGTCCTCATTATTACCAGTTAGTAGGGTGGATAGACAGATGCAGGACAGAGAAGTCCTTTAGGGCTTTGTTATCCAGTAAATATCTCTGCAGGGATGGAAATGCTCTGGAGTTGAACTGTCCGGTGTGGTATCCACCAGCCACGTGTGGCTATTGAGTACTTAGGCCAATGCAACTGAGGAAGAGAGTTTGAACTTTTATTTGATTTTAATTAATTACCATTTATTTATTTTTTAATTAATTACCATTTAAATGGAAATCGCCACAGTGGCTAGTGGCCACTATCAGGAGATTGTGGCCTTAGGGGGTTAAAGAGCAGAAACTGCCAACTACCTTGTATTCCAGAATCAGGGGACATTCTTGTAGGGAGTGTACTCCTATCCCAAATGGTGGGGAGGGGAGGGGGGAAACATTTAAGATTATGCCAGGACTTTTCCTAGATCAGCAGCCATCTGGTCGAGGTGTTGTAGGCATGTTGGGCTTCTGGTCAAGGAAGAAGGTGAGGCTGTTAGTCACGTTTGGGGGCAGGGAGGGGCAGGGGGAGGGTCCTCTTCCCATGCCTGACTAGGATCTCGGACCCCCAGATCTGATTGCCTTCATCAAAGGAAGCCGACACTCACCACGCTACACCCTCTGGTTCTGTGTGGGGGAGCCATGGCCCCAAGACCAGCCGTGGACCAAGAAGCTGGTGATGCTCAAGGTGCAGCATTTCTGGGCTCCTGGAGCTAAGGGGTGGATCTTAACAAAGGGAAGAGAAACTACAATTCCCAGAAGCCCCTCTGGGGAACTACAACTTCCAAGAGTCTTTGCAACCACCAGTTCCTCATCCCCAGGAGCTTCTGGGTGTCCTTCTCATGGCCCCTCACCCCCAAAACCTGTTTTGAACTCTCAAAACCATGTGGAAGTCAGTGGAATACAAGTCCTAGCAGCCTCTTTAAGGAACTACAGCTCTTAAGGGGTCCTTCTGACCACAGCTGCTGAGTGGAATCTCTACATTCCAGGAACCCCTCCAGCATCTCAGCCCTAGTAAACTTCCCAGGCCTCCCATGGGGGAAGTTACAGAGAAAACAATAATTCCCAGCAGCCCTAGGCCTAATGGTTATTCCTGGTTTATGGTGGGGGCTGCTGGAAGTTGTAGTCCACTCAACCCCACCTTATTTCTGCCCCCCACCTCCTGTAGGTTGTTCCCACGTGCCTTAGGGCCCTGCTGGAAATGGCACGGTTAGAGGGCGCTTCCTCCCTGGAGAACACTGTGGACCTGCACATTTCCAACAGCTACCCACTCACTCTCACCTCGGACCAGTACAAGGCGTACCTCCAGGACCTGGTTGAGGACATGGATTTCTGGGTCACTGGGGAGGTCTGACCCCTTCTCACCGGTGCTGCCCTCTTGTGCCTTCACCCTGGCCAATAAACTGTTTCTTGCCACTGTTACCACTTGTGTGCCTGGTGTTAGGGGTTATAGCTAGGTCCAGGCTAGCCCTGATGTGGGCTAGGCATTATTCCTTGGCAAGCAACCCACAACCCAGATGCTTACAGCATGAGGACCAGACACTGCAGGGAGCCGCTGATACCTGTCACCTCCTGACCTCCTTCCAGGGGCCTGGTGAGGAGGGGACAGTCACCCCCATTTTACAGACCAAGACACTGATGCTTAGAGAAGAGCAAAGGTATAAAGCAAGACAGGAGACGCAAGATGGGTTAGAATCCAGTCTGACTGCAGGGTTGCTACTTTCTGATGGGGGCCCCAGGGTAGAATCTAGAACCCCAGTTTTGGCTATGAACAGTTGAGGCCACTGATTGTTCAGTCCAGTAAGCTGGATCAACATATTGGCTGGGGGAAGGGGGGGGCTTAGGTCCCCTCCCAGCTCCTGCTGGGTGACCTCAGGCAGGTCCTCCTGTCCCAGCCAGCTGTGGGCTCCCCTCTGCATGGGGCTGGAACAGGCAGCTATAAAGGAGTTCTGTGTCCCGGCCTTAAAGCCCACCCTCTCCTGCACCCCTGATGCTACCACCTCTCCTCACTATGTCTGGGTTCTGGGTAATGGGGATGGTGTGGAGGCCAGTGTGGCCCTGACTCACTGTGTGGCCCCTGTTAGTTTCCCTCTCTACTTCAGGAGAGTGGATAAGATCGCCCCAGCCCCATAGGACTGGTAAAGAGAGTCCAACTCAATGAAAGACAAAAATCCTGCTGCTGGGGCAAGTCCAGGCCTAGACAAGTAGCACTCAGTTGCCCTGAGCTTGGAAGACACAGAGCAGGGGGGACCTGGGACCCCCAACCTCCCACCCACCACTTCCTGTCAATAGCAACGGCTTACCACGTACCAGGTATGGTTCTAAGTGCCTCACTTGCTTGTGTCTTCATCCCTCCAACACCTGCTACAACGATCAGGAGACCGAAGCCCAGCAAGGCTAGTACACTTGCCCCCCGCCCCCGTCACAGCCTGCTATAACCACCCTCAGACTGGGCCAGACTTCCTGCGTACCTCTTCCCAACCCTTTCCCAAACCACTCTGAAAAGAAAGGGCAAAAATCAGGGGGCTTGGGGCTAACATTTCATGAAATCTTTAATGAAATTGGGGGAGGGGCACAAACAGAAGGGCGGGGCAATGGGGACAGGCCTGGGGGCAAGGGGCACAGGGCTGGGCAGGGCAGGGGGCTCTCCTCTTCCCTGCAGCAACCCTCCCTCCATCATCCCACTGATGGGGGGAAGGAAGTGGGGAGGTGGAGCCATAAATACGTCCAGAATTCCAAAGAGGTGAAGGAGGGAAGGGATGGCTGAGGGTCTCAGAGGGGGGGCAAGGGCAGGCCGGGGCCACCCTTGTCAGGGGGCCCAGGCTCCTTGGGTGGCCGTGGGGGCCCTGGGGGATCCCCTGGCTTGCGGCCGTGCTTGCGAAAGTAGCGGTAGCGTTGGACGTAGGCCCGCACCAAGTTGCTCACCTTCACTGGGTTGATCTCCCCGCTTTTGCTGTGGCAGATCTAGGGAGTGAGGGGCAGCTGCGGTCACTGCCCATCCCCCAGGGTCCCCTCCACCGGGACTGCTGAGCATTGCTTGGCACAATGGGAGCCACCCCCCCAAGTTCAGGCCAACGCCCCTGCCTGTACCCCCGAGGCCAGCCGAATAGGCCCTCTTGTCACCCTCCTCACCTTCCAGGCGGACCCACCATTCCCGGCTCCCCGTCTGTGTACATCTGTCCACGCACGTCCGTCTCTCCTTCTCATCCTCTCCCCACCTCTGTGATCTGTTCCCCTCTGGGCCCCACCTTGTGGACAGCCTTCCTCAGGATGTCCTTGTACTCCTCCTTGGTGATGTCCTTCTTCTGATAATACGGCTTGATGGCCAGCTTCACCTCCTCTACTGCCCGCTCCTGTGTGTGCAGCTTCTTCAGGTACTGGTCGAAGTGGTGATGGAGTGGGAAGAATGGATGGCAGAGGCCAGATGAGCTCCCGCAGGAACCCCTGGCCTGCCTGTCCCCTGCCTGCCAGCTCAGCCTCCCCAACCATCCAGCTACTCCCGGAGGCAGAAGTACGGCTTAGGGTCTGCCCTGTGCTCCTCCTGCTGCAGTCACCCTAGACTACAGGCTGGGCAGGGCCTCTGAGTGTCACTTGAGCATCCACCAGGCTGGACCCTGGGTGGTCCCTGGTGGCCGGAACCAGGATACTCATGTCCACTGCCCGTACAAAATTTACATGAAGCAGGATGTCTGGATCACTCAGCGCCTGTCTTCTGCCCAAGGCGTGATCCTAGGGTCCCCGGACCGAGTCCTGCATCAGCCTCCCTGCGTGAAGCCTGCTTCTCTCTCTGCCTATGTCTCTTGCCTCAATCTGTGTCTCTCATGAATAAATAAATAAAATCTTAAAAAAAAAAATTTACACAAAGCGAAGACAGAGTGGGGCAGCACACCACCTCCTGGGCTGTTTGGACCATGACAAAAGGCACCGAAGCCTGACCAAAAGGAGGCCCAGGAGCAGGAGCCAGACGTAGCTGAACGAAAACCTGTTTGAATCTGCCCGGCAACCACTCTGCCTCCTGCCCTGGAATAGACGCTTGATCCATCCTTTTGTAAACCACCCTCCCTCTTGCACAAAAAGTCAGTAAGTCCACAGTCGTAGGGACGTCTGTCAGCACGTGGGTGTGTTTACATCTTATTTCTGCCCCCCTCTCTGTGGGCAGGTAATTTAAAAAAAAAAAAAAAAAAAAAATATATATATATATATATATATATATATATATATATACATACATATATATATATATCTGCCCAGTGCCCATCTCCCACTCAACCCTTGGGAGTGAAAGTTTAGTTCCTTACAGTTTAATGACTGTGGTTTTCTCTACGTTCCCGCTTGCTGGCAGCAGTCTCCTACTCTCCTCGGGTCCCTGCATCTCAGCATCTGTTCCTGTTCTCTGTAAAGCTGCCACTGTCCACCCACTTCCCCCAAGCCCAGCTCACCTTGTCTGTGTCCCCGCGTCCCTCGGAGCTGCTGCTGCCTTCTCGCTTGTCAGATGCTGCAGCCAGCCCAGTGGGGGTGGGAGGGGTTGAGCCACAGCCTCCCAAGGGGAGGCTGCCAGGGAGCAGGTAGCTAGAGGGGCCAGGGGGCAAACCCAGAGAGGTGGGCACAGGAGCCGGTGTCACCCCCAGACTAGAGGGTGGTTTTCGGTGACTGAGGATCTGTGGGAAGAAGTTGGAGATGATGAACAAAGGGAGGGGCAGGGAAGAGGGAATATGCACCCCCATTATTCCCACCCTGATTTCCCGACAGTCCCAGGGGCAGAGGCTCTTCTTCTGGCCAATCCCTTCCTTGTCCCAAGGCCTGTTGGGATTTGCAGTTCTTCTCCTGGCTTAACCGGAGTCAGGGGATGAGGGAAGGGACCATGAGGACTCTTCCCCTAGGGAGCCCACCTGGTTGGTGGCCTGGATCAGCTCCTGCGCTTTTGCTCGGCTTGCCAGATTGGCTTCTTCCATCTTGAAGAGAAGTGCAGTCACTGCAAGGAGCAAAGTGTTGAGGACAAGGAGATCAAGAGTTAACACAAGAGGAGCCGGTGAAGGGTGCCTGGCCCCCTGTTGCCATCTCCCACCCTGGAAGATGCTGGAAAAGCTATAGGTCCCGAGCTCAGAGCTGGGAAAAGGGGGCTCCGGCCACCCAGGAAACCACTCTGCACCCCCACGTGTTCTCAGGACTTTAGATATGTGTGTGGTTAGGGGGAAACACGGCCATGTCACTCGGGAGTAAGGTAGTGGTAAAGGTGAGATTCTGACTCAAGCCCCCTGTGGCCTGTTGCTATTCCCCCAAGGGACACTGCTCCTTGCTTGCCCTGCTCTTTCTGGTCCTTCTGCTACACCTAGCCTCAACTGCCTCTAGGTGGCCCCCAGGACAAGGCCTGCCCCTCCAGGTTGTACTGGGCTAGCCACCCCCACACTCATTTGCCTGCTCCCTTCCAGCACACTGACATCTAGGAGCCTTCTGGACAGACCCCAATCAACCCTCACCCACCCAAGTCCCTCACAATCTGGGGGTCACTATGTACTTGCACCTACCCCTTCTGAGGCATCCCCACTGCCTCCCAGTCCGTCCCCACACAACCTCACCCTCGATCCTTTCTGCCTGCCCCACCCCACCCCATCCCTGGGCACACTCACAGGCCAGGACACCGCTGGTGGTGCAGTCCACACCAGCAGGCAGGTTCCAGGGCATGGGTGGGGGCAGCGTGGGCAGCTGGGAGACACGGGTGGCCGGTCCATCTTCTGCCCCTGAGTCGCCGGCTGTGGACCCCGCGCTAGGGGCAGTGCTTGGGGCCGCTGCAGCTGTGCTGGTGGCTGTGGTGGTGGCAGGCTGCTGCTCCTCCTCCTCCTCCTCCTCCTCTTCCTCCTCCTCTTCCTCCTCCTCCTCCTCTGCCCCACCTCGGACCCCAGCCTCCTCGGTGGCCTCTTCGGGAAGGAAGGAGACCTCGGGTGTCTTGCAGCTGCTGTCCACCGTCTGTGAGTCCGGTGTGAGTGCAGGGGGTGGAGGGGCTGCCTTTGGGGGTGGGGTGCTGGGGGCTTTGGCCGCCCGCTCCTCCCCGGACCAGGAAGTCTCCTCCACCCCCTTGGCCCCCGCTGCCTGGCTGCAACTATCAGCCTTGGACTTCTTTAGTGTCACTGGGCCCCCACTGCTCCCGCCGCTGCCCCCACTGCGGATCTTTTTCCTTGTCTTGGACGGCTTGGTCTTTCCCTTGGTCCCCTTGGCTTTCTTGGCCCCAGCCTTGGCCTTGACCTTGGTCTTTTTGGGCTTGGTGCTTCCCGGAGCTGCTTTGGCCACCTCGGCAGGGGCCCGCTCGTCAGGCTTGAGGAAGGGGGAACGGCTCTCCCGGTCTCGGCTGAACTTGACTCCAATGGAGCCCAGGCCAGCAGACGCGGCCTCCTTGGCGGGCGTGGTGCTACTGACACCTTCTCGGA